GTCGCAAATATTTTATAGTCTGCGTTTAGGAGTGATATTGGTCTGTAATTTTTTATCTCATTTGCTTCCGTATTTAGTTTAGGGATTAGTGATATTAATGCTTCATACCCCAAACGGAAGCACAAGCCACCCAAAACACTTGATTTATAATTTATACCTTCCGTTGTTCTTCACATAATTCATCGGGGTGTGTGGGAGATGACTGTTACATACTTGAATGTGTCTAAGTGAATCTGCAGTCATGTTTCACTCAGTTGCTTGTTATGTTGAGTCTGTTGTTCATGGTTTTGCATTAGCTTTATATCTTCTGCATGTTGTGTCTTTTGATACTGTAGCAAATATCTTACACTCATCTCCTCCATTTTACCCACAACCCTACGAGGTACGCTAGGATGAAAGTGCGTGACTGGTCCAAGGTAACCCAGGAAGCTTCCATGTGGGAATGTGGTTTCAAACCAGGGTCTCCCAGATCCTAGTTTGATACTCTAACCACTACTTCTCACTGGAGTCTGCACAACTCAAAAATTGAGATGAATGCAGAGGTTCCAATGCAATTCCCTCCTTGCCCTGCTGTGTATATGAAACACAGAGAATGTGTGTGCATGTTTCAGTGTTGTATCATGTTTCCTGTGTTTCTGTATGTCACTTGTGCACATGAGAAAAGTACCTGTCTTTCCCCTTCTCCATTTCTGGTCTCTTGTCTGCTTGTCATATATATGCATGATAGGATGAAAGCCGTTTTCTAGGTCATTTTATGTTTTGGCAGATGCTTCTATATATATATATAAAAAAATTAGTGCCAGATTCTACATGCTTTATTCCTTGTCCGCACATGGTATGTGTATGATTTGACCCATAGGATGTATCTATGGACTCAGTTTCTTGAATTATCTGCTCTGCCTGCACTTAGCTTGTTTCCTGATTTCTTAGTGAGGAAATGTCATAGCCTGAATTGCACTGTAGTCTAAAAGGGGCCCAGTGGTAGACAGTGGGGCTAGGATTCAAGACCTCTCCATCATTGGTGCTGTGTAACGCCAGGTCCATAAATAATAAGACCATGGTCCTTTGGGACTTCCTACTGGAGCAAAATGTTGACCTGGCGTGCATGACTGAGACCTGGGTTCGAGATGGGGAGACTGTAACTCTCTTCCAGTTGGCGCCACCTGGGTTTTCAGTTCTCCACCACTAGGGACTAGAGAGACAGTGGTGGCGTGCTCGTGACGAAGCAACAAGAGCATCCTATAGGACGTTTATGAAATCCTATGAGATGGCAGTCAAAGCCGCAGCCACGATTGCATCTGCAAGCTCACACCTGGCCCAATTGCTTAGAACTATTCGGTCCTTAACAGTCTTGCCACAGGGCAGACTAAACACCAGGAAATTGGATACTGACTGTGAGTCTTTTGTGAGCTATTTTGCAGATAGTCTTGTTCCTCTGCCACAACCTTCCCACCACAATTGAGACAGTGAACGAACTCGAGGCTCCATGCATGTCTTCTAGTCTGATTTTGGATTATTTCAGTCCACTGAGGCTAAAGGAAGTCGACAGATTGCTCTCAACAGTACCCCCAACCATGTGCAGTCTTGATCCGTGCCCTTCATGGCTAATTAAAGCTGGTTGTGAGGGGTTTCGAGGTGCCCTCAGGGATATTATTAACAAGTCCCTCATTGAGGGGCTGTTCCCAGGGGCACTCAAGAAAGCAATGGTCTGCCCTCTCCTAAAAAAAACCATCCCTGGATCCGGATAAATTGGCAAACTATCGGCCAGTTTCCAATTTGCCCTTTGTGGGCAAATTAATTGAGAGGGTGGTGGCGATACAGTTGCAGAGCTTTATAGATGACACTTCCATGCTAGATGCCTTCCAGTCCAGCTTCCGCCCAGACCATGGGACGGAGACGGCACTGGTCACCTTCACAGATGACCTCCAGAGGCATCTGGATTGGGGCAGGACAGCAGTGCTGCTGTTGTTGGACCTGTTGCCAGCGTTCAACATGGTTGACCAGCAGCTACTGATCCACCACCTCGCCAACACTGGGATTCAGGGGCTTTCCTTGCCATTATTCTTATCATCCACCCCAAACACATCCCAGAAAACATGTGGCATGCAAATTACAAAGGAAAGGATAGTGAAGGCTGAGAAAAGGGACAGAAAAGTTGGATTAACATAGTTTGCTCTACAAGCCCAATTCTTTCCCCTTTTTTCCTGAGCACTCAGTTGCTCAAACAAAGCCAGCAATCATCTCAAAATGATTCAATGGGGTTTGCTGTTTGGCCTGTCAACCAGTTAAATATTTCCAGATGCATCAGTAATTTGGAGTAATGTTTAGCCACAAACAAAGCAGTTCCTGGCATGGGCTACTTATGCAACCTCACACCTGAATGTTCTGCATGAGACCATTAGGGTCTGTACAAGCCCTTGAGGGGTGGCTCCATCCCATTAGTGGTGGTGCAATTGCCATCGCCTGTTTGCTCACTTATTACAGAGGTTTTAGACAGTGCTGCAACCAGGCTGTCAAATTCCATTCCTCCTGTCCCAGTTTGACTCCTGGTTTTTCCCTGTTGCTCATTCGTGGTGAGCTATTTGAATAGAAGCACAATCTTTTGTCGGTCTAGATGGCCTCAGCACTGTTATTCTGCCACTTCTGTTGGAGGCAATCATGGCATGTGTATTGATGTGGCAGGAACAATGATAAAGTACCTAGAACTAAATAGCATTAACCCCAAAAGCAAACCCCTGGCAAGGGGTCGATAAACTTCAGAAATAAGGGCCTTCTGTAAAGGCCTTTGAAAATCTCCATCCTGAAACTATGTAGCGGGTATTAATCAAACTCCAGCCTTCATAAAGCAATAGGAGGAAACAATACCCAGTTCACAAAAACTGAATAAAGGTTAGTGTTACTATCCCTTTCCTGATTCTGCTACTACTGGCAGCTACTTACTTGGTACACACACTGCACCAAATCTCTCCTTAAAAAGAGCAGAAACATTAAAACAATTTTACAGCTTAAAAAAAAAAGGCTCCTTTAGTTTCAGGAGCATTGAAAGGGTTTGCTCCTTACCTGCCTCCTCAGAACAGAACACTGAGCATAGCTTGGGTGCCTGCCCTGTAGCAGCCCTGACTTGTTGAGGCCAAAGTGGTTGCTGATTGGACAGCCACTTATTTAGCCTACCTGCTAAGATACTTCAAACCTGACACAGACATTTAGCAGCCAAAGCTTTTCCTGGGTTGGAAATACATGATTAAGAAACCTTTACAGGCTTCATTAGCAGCTTAATTTCAGGTGCTGTTAAGGAACCAGAGCAAGGACTGGAAAAAATGGTGGAGAAATTAATGAAGCTGGTTTTGATCATGCCCATCAAGGTACTGAGTGCAGCTGATGTAGAAAGCTCACTCTTATCTTGCCATCTAGGACCCACTAGTAAGTCCCCTCGTATCAAAGTTACTGAGTAACGAGGACAAACCTTGCAAACTATTTTTACTGCAGACAGCCTCAAGCAGCCTGGAAACAAGGGCCTCAGGAGAGGTTACAACAGAGCAGATTTTGTCCATTGGAAAGCAGGATTCTAAGTTGGAAGAGACTGGCTCGGACCAGCAAAACTGCCAGGTTACCAACAACGTTAGTTTAGACAGGTTCACTTTTGTGGTCAGGAGGCAAGCTATTTGCAAGAGATCCATCTGCAGATCCAAGAGACCTAAGAGCCCAGCCACTAAGAAAGCGCCAGAGTTCCGGCTTCTGAAAGCATCCCATCTTTCTCTGCTCCTCAGCCTGCCTCAAGGAGAAAGAGGTCACTGAGCTCCCACCAGCCACAGACAGAGGCACTTCAGGTGCTAAATAATTCATGGAGTTTCTCTTTGCTCAGAATGCCATATCCTGAGCAGCAGGAAAAAATGCTGCAAAGAGAAAAGGCTATCAGGTCAGGAAATGTGCCACTTGACCTTGGCATGGCTTCCAGCCATTATTTTTTTAAGCTCTCCAGAAAGTTGATAACGCTTGACTTACCTGGAGTGTAACCTTTTATGGAAGGTAATGGTCCATCCATGACAATTCATGCTGAAAAACCATTAGAGGTATAACGAACTTTCTCAAGTAGATATATGCATTCATCAACATAAGAAGGGGGGAAAGGATGGCACCAATTTACATAATGAAGAAGGTGAGGCAAGAATAAAGAGGGCGAGGAAGGGCTGTTGCTCAGAGACAGAGCATCTGCTTGATATGCAGAAGGTCCCAGGCTCAATCCCTGGCATCTCCAGTCAAAGGAGGTGATGTGAAAGACTTCTGCCTGAGTCCCTGGAGGGCCTCCGCCAGTCTGAGAAGACAATACTGACTTTGATGGACCAAGGGTCTGATTCCATATAAACTTTATTTTTAAGAAAACAAGATACTGTATTTCTGTTTCAGCAGATTTAGAGGGTTGCCAACCTCCAGGTGGGGGCCTGGAGATCTCCTGGAATTACAACTGATCTCCAGAAGACAGAGGTCGGTTCCCCTGGAGAAAATGGCTGCTTTGGAGGGTGGACTCTGTGGCACTGTACCTCACTAAGATCACTCCCCCAACTCAAACCCCACCTTTCCCTGGCTCTGTGTCAGTTAACACTGCCATGTTGCTGGAATGTGTGGAGGGGGAAACCACCTTGCTCTGCCTGCTACCCACAGAGGTTCACTGTCTGGGTATTATCTACTTTGGGATGTTCCAGCTGCTGTCGGCTTTTGCTAGGAACCAACGGCTTTTGCTTTTTGCCCAATTTCTTTCCCCACACGCGCAAGCTTTGCTTATTGGCTTCAGCTTGTAAGGGGTGTGTTTTTGATCTTAGCATAATTCAGGGTGCCATACTGTTCCCGAGCATTCCTGACACAAGCAGTACACGTGTCATAGTCCTGGTGTACCAATAAACAGACTTCTTCTTATGAAGTGCTGTGTTGTGTGACCTGACTATCGAACCCTGACAGAGTGTCAGGAATCATCTTCCCCTCGACCTGTATCTCTCCTACTCAAGATGAGCGAAGGCGAGGAGATCACGACCCTAGGCACAACTGGGGACACTGTGCCGGTGACTACGGTCCCCACGATCACAGAACCGACCATCCTCCCTCGGGATGTGGCGGCCATCTCGCAAGAAATGCCTCAGGAAGTGGTTGGTGGAGCAAAATCCCGGGTGACTACAACCTTATGAACGTTCCGCACTGGGGAACGTTTAAAGCTGACACCCAGGAAACCTGGCTGCTTACCCCAGGGCCCCACCGAGGGAGCCGCTGTGACCGGTCCTGGGGGTCGGTGTTACGGCCGGGGGACAAAGCCGCACGCCAGGAGGCTGAGGAGGCAGAGGGGTTCGTGGAGATCTGGCTGGATTTACTCGAGAGATCTCAGGACAAGATCGTGACGACGGTGGACGAATCGCTCCTGAGCCTACCACGGATAGTAGCGGAGGTGGTGCAGCACGAACTTTGACTTCAGCTGCCAGCACAGGCTGGAGTGCCAGCTCTTCCACCCCTGGGGGCCCCGGGGGACCAAGCACCCGAACCTCCATTTAAGTTCCTAGTTCTAATCTACCCATCAGTACAGATACCTATTTGTTCATTTATAACCTGCATTTCCCCTTATGATGTTCTTCCTATTTCAGATGCACAATAACCATATGAGATAGGTCAGGCTAAGAGTTTGTGACTGGCCCGAAGTCACCCCAGAAGCTTCCATGGCAGAGTGGGGATTCAAGCGTGGGTCTTCCATATCCTGGTCCAACACTCTAAATCACTGCACCAAACCATAAGGTCAGCCACTGGAACTCAGGACTGAGCTCTAGCAGCTGGACAGACTTCCTCTGTTCTTCAGGTGCAGTGTTCATAGTACAGCTGAGTAGACAGGGCAACAGTCCATAAAGTGGAAAATGAAATAGGACGGCTGAGCTCGGTAAGCCAGAGAACAGCAAGTAACGGAGACAGAAACAAGAACAATTGAAGAACAGAGCAGCAGTCAAAAGAAGGGTGGCATGCTTGGATTCCACAGAGGAGGATGTCGAATGGGACTGGCTCCCCACGATCACCTGAACTCAGGAGGCTCCAGATAGCAGTATTCATTACTGACATGAAATGTCTGCAGTTATGACATGTCCAGCCTCATTCAACTGTTAGTTTGCTGAGTAACTTGGAGCTGGTCATGATCTCTCAAGCTAACTCATTTCACAGGACAGCTGTGAGGACCATTGTGGAGGAGATAACTGGGTATGCTGCCCTAAACACCTCTGAGACAGAAAGGTGGGATCAAAATGTCACAAATATCTATTTGTTTACTACATTTTAATTCCACCCCTCCTCCAAGAAATCCTTAATCATCTCCATCCTCCAAATACTGCAAGGGGGAAAAAGGCAGCAGCACTGTTTAGGAAAAAAATTGATTTATTTGTCAGATAACTGGGCTATAAAGCCAGCTCTAGAAGAACACACTTCCTTTAAATAACAATAGGATTAAAATATGTCTCACACGCATTCTTCTTTACCTCTTTCTGCAACTCACTCACACCCAGCATTAAAAAAAAATCATGTGACACTTTAACTATATAGAGATTTTTTCCCACCCAAATGCTACACATACACACCAGCAAAGCACAGAACTTCTCAAAAGGGGTGGGTAGAAAACAGGACTCAGTGCAAGCCTCTTAGAAATTCCCTGCAGTTCAGAGGACTGTAAACTGGCCCTTTCTATTTCTAAGCAGAAAAAGACAGGACAGAGCCTCAAGGCAGGATGTGGCCTTTCCTTCCCAATGTATAAAACCTGCCTGCCTGGAGAGCTTAAAACAAAGGCCCATTTACAAAAGGCACTGCATACACCAGCCTCAGAAGCCAGAACAGGACTGATGAAAAGGCACTGCTAGGAGCGTGCAGACTTTCCCCACTCCATTTCTGCAAAGCTTGTTTCAGTGTCTTCAAGCCCTGCCCCCCATCAGCAATGTTGTTTCCTGCCTTTTTTTCTCTCTTCTCAATAATGAGACCAAGCTCAGCTACTCATTTGCACAGAGGAGAAGTGGGGGAACACTGGACACATAAAGACTATGTTTAGCTCATAGTCCAACAACTGGCACATCGTGGTGAGCATGGGAAAGTAGGCTGCCTTGAAGGCTAAGGTGCCTCCTGAGATAGGACCAGCGTGTTTGTATAAATGGCAGGCCCTACTGACTCCAGTGCATACTCATTGGGTCAGCATCCTATTTATCAGGTAGGCACTATGTCAGTCAGCACTGCTGCATAGAGTTTCCTATCCATAGAAAGACTGTGGGCAACAGAGGGATGTTACTGGCCACTGAACTCTCATCAGAGAACTAGGAAGAGGCCCTTTTGATGATACAGCTACTAACCAGGAAACTTTTATAGATGAGTTAGCAAATATTTGGGAGGGCTCTGAAAATTCCCAAGATGCATAGAAACAAGGATTTGCCACCTTAATCTTCACAGAACCTCTACACAACCAGTAGGTCTCTCTCTTTCTCTCATAGACACCCCCCCATTAGTTGCGACATCCAACATGTTGAAAAGATGGCCCTCAGGAAACCATGGATAGTCCAAAAGCACAAGGTCCTACATCACCGAGTTGTTGTGATGTTGTTTTCTAAATAATAAAGAGCCTCCCCCTTTTCCCACTCTGACATTGAACAACACTCCAGGTATTGAGATGTCATGTGCTGCGTTAATTTGTGTCAAGAAGACAGCAGGTGAGAGGACAACAAAGATTTTGGGAGCAGCATAACATTGTCATGCTCCAGGTCTTGGGCCAAAGGCAGGGAAGCTGTCAGATAGCTTGCCACAGCTCAGGTCAAGAGTACAAAATTTCTTGCTACATATGACAGTGTCTCTCCACAGCATGATGGGCAGGAACTCCATCAAGAGGACTGCAATGGGATCCTTCTCAGCTGCGGAGATGGGTAACAAGACGGAAAGCAGGAAGGCACCCAATCATCCACCAAGAGGCTGAATTGCAACCAAGAATATATCTTCTTGTCAGTACCAGCAAAGGCCTATTCATACAGCATAAACACAAGGGATTTCTGGAGAAGGCCAGACACTTACAACAGAGTCAACCTGGTCCATCAAAGATGTGGAGTTAAAAAAAATGCATGTGGGGGGGCTCTCAAAGTGCTGGCTAGCTGCCACTGCAGAGGTGGCACTAAAGAACAACCTGAATGACAGCCCCAAAGAGAACAGAAGCCCCACAGTCCAGAATTAAAAACAGCAGGTGTATCCCAGCACTATGACCCAGGTTTTCAATAGCAGGAACCAAGCAGAGCACTTGGGATACACGCAACAAAACGAAAAACATTGTCTCATCTTCCAGGATGAATCTCAGATGGTTAATTGAGGACTAGCCCCATCAGATGCTCCTTCAAAAAGGCAAAGTTAGCACGGTCTCCTCTTGGAATGGGGTCTGCCAAAATCAAGATGTAGGCTGTTACCACCTGCTCTTGCTATATGGAGACGAGGCCTGAAGCAAAGAGAGATAGAAATCAGGTCATCAGGTTTCGTTTAGTCAAAAGGTTTTTCTTAAACACCAGTAACTGAAAACTAACAAAATGAGTGAGTTTGTGGTTGTGTGTATGTAGGTGCCCACCTAGCTGGAAACAGTTGTTCCTGCAACTCTGATCCTAGATGTATGAGGGAATTTCAGTCCTTCAGGGTACTCCTACTTGGAATCTACAGACCACATTACTTACCCCCCCTCCCCCAGGTTTGAAGGTGTACAAATCATGCATAATTCTACATATTCTCAAAACAGACTTATCTCTTCCCCACAGTCAGAACAGTGTTACCAAAATGAATTTCAGACTGCATAAGAGTAAACATATAATGTATACATAGGTTAAAAAAACAGAAATGTAGAGTTGAAGGCTGCAATCCTAAGAACACTTTTCAAAGAGTCAGCCCCAGTTAATAAAACTGGCCTGCTTAGACTGTTCTCTCAATGTGCTATGCTCCACAGGGACAATTGTTTTAGACTCTTTGTTGCTCCGACAATGGACTAGTAAATGGGATTGCACTGGAGCAGAATCCAACTGTTGCCTGTCACCTACCACCCAGCTCCAGTGCTTATAGTTAAAGTAGCCACTGCCTAAGTCTTTTATGCACCTGTCCACTCTTGCCATCCTTCTGTGACACTGGTTGCTTATTCTGTGAAAGGTAGGCATCCTCGGCACGCAGCGTGGAATTGGCACTGCTCATCACTTGGCTGTTGGCTGTAGCACGTGGGAGGATAACATCATAGGTGCCTTCCGTCTGGAAGGAAGGCAGAAACAGAGGAGAAACATTAAATTCTGGGCAATGCATAAGTGTGGTCAACAGAAGGTCTTTAAAAATCCAATCTATTTAACAGACAGTGGGAAAGAGAGATGCATTTTCCTGATCTTCACCTGTTAAGATTGCAGCCCTTGCTCACTTACCTTTTTATTTTTTATTTAAAAAATTCACCTGGGAGTCAGCTAGGGTTGCCAGGCATGGCCAGCAGGAAACCAGGGGGGCATGGGGATAGCCATCAGCAATGGCATGGCATGTTACGCCTCTCTAAGAATCAGTGGAAACTCTCACCAAAGCCCATTGTACTTAGCAAATTGTTAGAAGCACCAGCAGACGCTTGTCTGCTGACCTCAATTGGCAAGTGGAGCATATAGGCTTTCTTATATTATCTATTAATGGAAAAAAGTTTGAGTTGCACATTAATGTGAGAAGTGGGGAGAGAATAAGGAAGGAAGCAAGGACAAGGGAGGCTGAGATGGTATACGAAGCCAAAGAAGGCACATTATCAACTGATTAATCATTTTCTTTGGCACCTAAAGAACACCAGTAAGAACTATTTGTTCCTTTTCGCCTGGGGCCTTAGCAGCAGACTTGTGTGCACTGCAGAGCGGTCCCAATCTGCCAACAAGAAGTCCAAGTACCTCTTGATTCCCAGTGGTGCTACAGCTTGAAAATAGCAGAATTGCAGCAGCCATTGTCTTGGTGCTGATACAGAGGTAACGTCCTAACATGGCTAATTTTAAAGCATTAGGTGGGCCACTCCAGGGGCCAAAGCAAGGGATGGGCTCTCTCCCCTCTCCTAGATCCCAAGACCTTGGAGTACAGCTTGACTAGGCCACATGACTAAAAATGGAATGGTCTTGCTGAAGTCTTTGAGTGCCAGCATCATCCTCTGCTCATCTACTAACCGGTATATGGACCTTGTCACTAAAATGAGCCACTGTACCAGAGTACTGGAGAGTAGCAAATGTTACGTTGATTTGTAAAAAGTGGTTCAGAGTGGAACCAAAAAAATTACAGGTGAGTTAGCCTGATATCTATTCCAGGCAAATTATAGAAATGGTAAGCAAAGATAGGATTACTAGGCACCTTGGACTTTCAAAAGGCTTTTGACAAGGCATCCCACCAAAGATTCCTAAGTTTAGCAGACAAGGGAAAAGACAGTGAGTCCGTTTATGGATTAAAAGCTGGTTAAATGACAGGAAGCAAGGAGTAGGAACAAAGCAGTGGGATCCCACTAGGATCAATACTGAGTAGGGTTGCCAGCCTCCAGGTGGGGCCTGGGGATCTCCCGCTTTTACAACTGATCTCCAGCTGACAGAGATCAGCTCCCCTGGAGAAAATGGCTGCTTTGAAGGGCAGACCCCATGGCATTGTACCCTGCTGAGGCCCCTCCCCTCCTCAAACCCCACCTTCTCCTGGCTCCACCCCCAAACTCTCCAGGTATTTTCCAACCCAGACCTGGCAACCCTAATACTGAGGTTAGTGCTATTTCATTTGTCCCTACATGATCTGCAACTGGAGGTAAGCAGTGTAATGTTCAAGTTTGTAGATGATACGAAACTATTCAGGATGGTGAAAAGCAAGGCCAACTGTGAAGAGCTCTAGGACAATCTGCACAAGTTGGGTGAGCGGGCAACAATGCAGCAGCAAATGAAGTTCAATGTAAGTAAGGATAAAGTGTTGCACACCGGAACAAAAATTCCCACCCTCATGTATATGGTAATCGAGGCTGAACTTGCTGAGAACCAGAGGGAACAAGTGGGGTCATGGTGGATAGGTCAATGAAAGTGTCAGCCAACTGTGCTGCACAAGTGAAAAGGGCAAACTCTGTGCTGGCAACGGTTAGGAAAGGGATTAAAAATAAAATGGCCAATATTACAATGACCCTGTACAAATCTATAGTGTAGCCTCACTTGGAATACTGTGTGCAGTTCTGGTCATTGTATCTCAAAGAAGACACTGCAGAGCTGGAAAAGTAAAGAAGATGGCAAACAAGATGATTAAGGGGTTGGAGCATCTTTCTCATGGGTAAAGAGTCTGGGACTTTTCATTTCAGAAAAGAGACAACTAAGAAGACACATGATATTTATTTACTTCGTTCACACCCCACCTTTCTCCCTAATCAGACCCAAGGTAACTTACATACTTCTCCTCTCCTCCCTTGCATCCTCACAACAACAACCCTGTAAGGCAGGTTAGGCTAAGAGTATACGACTGGCCCAAAATCACTCAGCAAGCTTCCACGGCAGAATGGGAATTCAAACCTGGTTCTCCTAGATCCTAGTCTGACACTCTAACCACTACAGGGTTGCCAGACCCCTCCACGTTTGGGGGGGCGCGTCCCCATTGCTGGCCATCTGGCAGGCGGGGGAAAATCCTGCCCCCGACTGCTTTGAAAGGTCGTGCGATGATGTCACCTGGAAGTGACATGATCACGCTGCCGACGTCAGGGAGTGGCACTCTAGTTTTTTTGGCAAAACATTATGGTAAAATCAACTACAAACCAGCGTCACCCTCAATGTCGGCGATGTGATGACATCTCGTTCGGGTGATGTCACGGCACCTGAAATGGCCCTCCCGAGAAAAAGGACAACCACCTCACTTGATGTGTGTTAGCCTCAGGCCTCATTCTGCCTAGAGAATTAAGTGAGCTCTATAGGCCTGAATAAGTAGACATATCCCTGGGAAGCAAACACACATATAGCTGCTACTTGTTATGAGCCCTTTGCTAGACACAAATTTACAGAGGAAGTCTGGGTTTGACACGTCAGGAGAATCTTCACTTTGTCAGGCTGCCCAACCTTTCCCAATAAACAGCTAGCTAATGGAGGATCAGGTTTAAATGCCAGTCACACAGACTACACAGGAAGCTGAGCTGCAGCCAAGAAGCTGGACTAGAAGAGTTAAAGGATAAGACAAGCCAGCACAATTGCACACTCACTTACAGGCCCTTTATGCATGAGAGCCATCTCTGTGGGCTGGTACACACTTGTCAGTAGCTGGCCATTGTACCCACTGTATGGTGACACGGGTTTTTTAGCTGAAAAATAGAAACCAGAGGACAGTATTTAAATATAAGAGCTTAATTGCTTTCGTAGACATAGTCTGTATCCAGATAATATATAGTAAGCCACCAGAGAACAACTTACAGGGGGCAAATGGGGGATGCACTGTATAATCTAGCCATCAAGTTAAAACCTTGAAAATAACCTCAGGGTCAATTGTTCTTTTTTGGCAAAACACAGAGAAAAGTTACTCTAAAACCTTTTCCTTGCAGCACATTATCACATTTAAACAATGTGTCCCAAAGTACAGCCACTTTTCACATCTTCTGTAATCAAAAAAGCACCTGGAGCAGAAAACAACTGCTGGAAAAAGACACATTTTGACACTGGATATTATTAAGTTATACGTTTTCCCTATAAAATGCATGGAAGTGTGTTAGTTTCCTAATAGCTAGGGTTGCCAGGCCCTACATGCCTGGCAACTAGCAGGTGGTTTGGAGCACAGATGTGGGGCCCCCACAGTTTCCTGTGCACCACTACGTCACTCCTGGGGACAGCCTGCAACTGATGTAGCAGTGCATAGGATGCACCAACCCTCCCCCCCCCCCATGGCTGCCTGCTCTGGATGGCTGCCAGCAGTCCCATCACTGCAGGAGAGCTGGCAGTTAGGTCAGTTTGAGGGTACAACATCTCCTTCCCAAAAACAGCTACTCTGAAGGCAGCAGATGTAATAATGAATAAAGATAAAATAAACATTTGGATAACATTGCCATAACTCCTCTATTACTACAGTAGACCCCAAAAAAAACCTGTGGGAGGACGACCTTTCCCACTAAAAGTTTCAGGCCTACTACAGAGAAGAACTCCAAAGTATTCAGGACAATCCTATTTAATTCTCTTAATAAAAACCCTGCTTTCTAACCTTCCACTAAAACAACAAAACCCAAGGGCTATACCTCTGCTCCACATTCCTTTTTCTGAGGCCTAGGGTTGCCAGCCTCCAGGTGGGACCTGGCGATCCCCGGAATTACAGCTCATCTCCAAACTACAGAGATCAGTTCCCCTGGAGCAAATGGATGCTTTGGAGGGTGGGCTCTGTGGCATTGTACCCTAGTAAGGTCCCTGTCCTCCCCAGGCTCCATCCCCAAATCTCCAGGAGTTTCCCACCCTGGATTTGGCAACCCTTCTCCCACATCCCCTGCCGGGGGGCATGAGAAACTTGGGCAACCCTAGGCCTAAATAAGGGAGGGAAGACGTGGTCAGAGAGTGTGATTACCCTCTGATGTTATCCAAGTCAATTTCCCCCCATCCCAAGAATGTTTAAACAGTGAGGAAAGTGGTCTGATCTCCGCATAAAGGACAACTGGGGGTGAGGTGGGGGTGCCATAGGGTTGCCTTCTTAAGATCAGTTAATAGAACTGTTAAATTGTGACATGGTTTGCCTAACTTCAGTTCACAAAATCAGGATGGTTAAGCTGTATGGGGAAAGAGTGTTTTACATTTTATCTAACTTTTTCAATAAAAGCTTCACACAATCTGTAAAAGTTTGCACTTTCTTTTGTCGATCAGAGTTAACACTTAAAAAAAAATTAAAGCCACGCCAGTAAAGGAAACCCCAAAATTAAGGCCCTACATATATTTACTACTTTATTCCTTACAAATACTTTTAAATTCTGCCCAGATCTATATCTAAAGTCATTGACTTATTCTCACATTTAAAATTGGGTTCCAGAGTTTGTTTGTTTGGTTGGTTGGGTAGGGGTTTTGTCTGTTTTATTCATATTGTACTGGTTAATATGTTTAACTGTTCTTTAGTTCAGTATGGACTTGGCTAATGTTATAAAAATGTGATTGTTATGTTTTCTTAATACTATTGTATTATACCAATAAAATGTTATTGGGGGGGAAAAAAAACCAGGGTCCCATGCCATTAATGTGACACATACAAATTAAGCACATGAAACTTTCTCCAGCACAGACTTAACTGACAGGAAAAACTTCACATGTTAAATTTCAAGATAGAATAGGGGTGGCCAAACTGCGGCTCAGGAGCCACATGTGGCTTTTTCACACATATTGTGCAGCTCCTGGCAGGGCAGCTGGGGAAGCAAAGGGGAGGCATACTTTTTCTCCCACCCTCCCTCCCTCCCGTTTATTTGCTTTCTTTGTTTCTCTCTCTCTCTCCACCTCTTTCATTCTTTCTTTCCACCTCTCTTTTTCTCTCTCTCTTAGACAAATAAATATCATTAGCAAACAAACATCATTGGACCAATAAATATAATTATCAATATCTGTTTTTACCCCTTTTGTTTTTATTTTTGGCAGTCTCATTTCATGTTAATAAAAAGCAAATTTGTATATTTTTAAATAAAAATGTGTGTGTAATATTTGTTTATGTTTTGTGGCTCTCAAACATCTGACATTTATTCTATGTGGCTCTTACGCTGAGCAAATTTGGCCACTCCTGAGCTAGAACAAACACAGTTTCAAAATAAAACTAACTGCTTGTCATGTGTATTATCACACATATACTCAGATTTCATTTTGACTGTGCAAACATACACCCACATGTATTAACTTTAATCAAACACAAACATTATTCTTGCAAAAGTACCACTAGATTCCCTCTCCCGTATTTACTGTGTTTCATTTCACATGCCACTAGCAATCTTCAAGAGTCTTCACCTTTGCTCACAAAACATCTTTATGAGAAAAAAGCAATTTCTCTGTGTCTTCCATGCTGTTACGTTCTACTGGAAGCACAGCGAAGAGCACTGACTAATCAATATAGCCGAGCATAAGAGCCATCAAAAGTCTGCTGGGGCTTTTGTTTTTTACATCAGCGATAAAACAAAGACTTGTTTTGTGAGTAACTATAGACAAAGTAAGGTTTAATGAGCACACTGTGCCAAGAGACCTTTACTAAACAAGGGAATCCTCTAGGGTTTGTAGAACTCAAGAGGCAAAGCTTGTTGTCATAACAGTCCTGGCACTCATTAAGTCATATAAGTGGCATTAGCCAATCAGGTTTTCCCATGAAGATCTGTGAGCCAACCAGAATTCTCTATCATATGTGAAACAGAAGTACCGGGTTGCCAGGCACAGTCTGGTAACCAACCGGAAATTGGGGGGGCGGCGCGGGGAGAAGGGGCATCAGCAACCATGTCATATCTCTTCTACCCAACAGATGGGTAGGGGAGATGTGATAGCTCTTGTGGGGGGAAATTCCAGAAGTGATGTTATGCTTCTCTATGGATAGTTTTATCATAGAGTCCCGGAGATTCCTACAGTGGACTGACATCACTTCCATGTTCTCCCCAGGTGACATCGCACCATCATCAAACAGCAATCTTTAATAAAATTATTTGTCTCCAATCAGCCCACAGGAGTGGTGGTTGAAAAAAACAGCTGGGGCCAGGGGAAACTAGCATCCCTACATTCTTGGTAACTTCTCTGTATTCATCTATAGAAGACTCCTAAGAACACTTTCATGGGAATACACTCTGCGGAATAAACCTGAGTAGGATCCTGAGTAAACCTACTTAGTATTGTTCTATAAATGAATTAAATTGCTTTGTCTTCCTGCAGCAATGGAGCATGGATATCCCCCTTCTAGGGTTGCCAACTGCTTAGAAAAAAGTGTCCTTTCCCTTTAACAGAGGCTTATTCACCAGGTGATTTTATGTACCTGCACGCCATGAAAAGCTTCAGCTGCACATTTCTACACCTTAACCCTCTGTTAAAGGTGCTGGACCTGTTTATTCTTGACCTGTGATAACCCTAGTCCCTCCAAAAGTTGCCACATAAGAATTTATTAAAATGAAAAGAACAGTTTGGAGTTGCATTGCCAGAAATAAGGGCACTCTCTTAAATTCTGTTGGGGACCCTAAATTCTTTAGGGAAATTATTCCTGGTTTGATACAAAAGTATTTCTGTGTTCCAAACAAGAAATGAATACACAGTGGAGACAGTCCCTATCAGAAGGGTTGCCAGGTGGCCTGGGAAATTCCTAGAGATTTGTGGGGGGTGCCTCTGGACGGGGGATTTGTAGAGGGATTTCACCTAGAATCTATGCTGGTCTATAGGGACCCTTTAAATGCTGTTTACAAGAAGCAGGTGGGGGCATGCCTGAACTCCAGTGCCAAATTTACTGCTTGGAGTTCGGGCGGGTGGCTAGCAGCTGCCCCTCTCCCTCCTTCTTGCAAGATTTAAAGGGCCCTCCAAGCTTCCCCCCCCCATGGCCAGCTAGCCGGCGGCAGGCAGGAGCCCATGAAATCTGGGGATCCCCCGCCCCCACCTGAGGACTAGCATCCCTAGCTACAGAATAACTGTGATTGGCATGATATGCAATTATGAAAAAGGGCAGTTTTACACAAGCAGCTTGGGGTCCCCCCCCCTTTAGTAGTGCTCTTCACCCAAAGTCCTATCCTAATCATATTTCTCAAATGCAAGGTCTCATTGACCTCACAGTGATTTCTGATTGTTTCCTTGTAAACGCATTTGTGATTGCAGCCTGTGTCTATTTTTCTTAACATACTTCCTTTTTAGCAGCATTGAAATACAGCTTTAAGGTGTATTTTCTTGTTGCAAGCCATGCAAAGTAGCTGGTTAGCACAATAATGTAACACCTACCTAGGCTAACTAAACACGCACATCAACTTTGCACAGGTAGTCCTCCACATTAAACAAGATGCCGTGCAAATGCAAAGTAGCATGAATCAGTTATTTTGCCTTACCAACATCACAGGTAAATTGGGTCTAGGATGAAATCACAGCAGGTATAGTTTCCCGCCAGATGGAGAGCAATCTGCTACTTTTGAAATACAAGTGAACTGAGAAAGCCTATGAAACCTCTAGGAAAGTGTGCAAGGGTTTGTATGATGAAGCAACATCTAATGAGTTCTCAAGAAACCTACAGATCAGAAGG